AGCTTACTTTATAAACGGTATAATTTTTGCTCATTCATTGTTATTGGACGGACGCTGACCTATCAATGCTGCTTTCATCCATGGCCGTCATTTGGTCTCTGATGAATAGTTGTCTGAGTGGTTATCAGACCATATTTCTTTACTCTTTATATGTATGCCATACAGAACTAGTTATATCCCCCGTAAAAGTCATCGTATTCATTTAACTTAATGTAAAAATTAAGATAGAATGTTAGAAAGCTTTATGGCAAACATTTTTTTCTGTTTAATGGCATAATATTGATTTGAAATTACATTTTCAATATCAAAGAAAACAGGACGTGAAATATTAAACTTCATTGCAGTGTGTGTCCTGGTTTATTTTTTTTATCGTGCAATCTATTTCAAATCAATTAGTTGTAAAAGCATCCGTGCTTTATTTTCCCTATAGAAACAAACAATATTTTTGCTATACAAAGTTAGAGCCTTATATTTATTTAAGTGAATGCTTATATTTGTCAACAATTACTTTTTTGTACATGTGAAATTATGCTTTTTTTAGATGTTGACTTATTCCAACTTTAGTATAAGAGTATCAGACGGGTTTATTTAAAAAAAAAAAATTTGACCTTGAAAAAGCCAAAAGTTTGAAAATAATAATAATAATAAAAAACATACTTAGTAGACAGATATTATGGGATAAAATACCTAGAGCCAAGACAATTCCGTAAAAGAGAGGCGGAAGATGTAAGGATATTCAACTCGTAAGTCAAAAACGAACTGACAATGCCTTGGCTAAAAACGAAAAAGCCACCAAACGACAAACAACAATTATAGTAAGCTATGATATAATTGACTCTCCTGCATATGACAACGTCTGAAAAACATACGTTTGATTAAAAACATAAGGCAATAATTCAAGTATATGTTATTTCGTCCTCTTGCTTGACCAACCAAAGGCACACGGTTTATGCGCTCAGAAATAAAACCACAAGACATCTTAAATTCAACATTTGATTTCTAACAATAGAAAAGTGACAGAATCGTCTTCTGTCTAGAAAAAAAGCGATTCAGATATTATATCTAAAGGCAACTAGATTTACTTAATATGCTCCTGACATGAGATACGAACAAGAGCCTTCAGCCCGGTTTAAACTTGTGCATAGCACTCACTCTGTTACTTTTTGAAAATAATAAAATGCATATGCAATGTCTACCAAAAAAAATGCATTGACCGCTACCATATCCTATAGGACAATAGGGAGATTTGAAAAATAAAACCCTATACAAAATGCATACGGTTAATGATAGCAAGCTCAAATTATCAGACTAAAATCAATAAGTTTATTAAGTCAAACATACGTTCTAGAAAAACTAGTTTACTTTATAAATAATAATACAAAAAGCTGTGTGGTATAATAAAGAAACCCAATAACATATGGTTATACGTTGGATAACCATGACTATACTAAAATATTATATAATAACATTCATTTACATTGTATCTTTTTAAAAGAAGTAAACAACAGAAATAATTTGCTCAGTAAATCGTATTTTACTGGTTTATCATATTGGTTTCTTAATGCATAATTTATTACGTTAAATTCGTTTAGAATGTTTTTTCATCCACAATAACTCATTGCAAGGGAATTCTCTACAAAAACATACACGAACATATTGTAATCCGTGATCATGCGTATTATTATTATTTGTCTTGATGCATTACATTGATTTTGATTCCGGATAAATGACTACTCTTGTCCCATATGGCTTGTCAGTTATAATGTAACCGTCTGTTTTCAATAATTGTTTCTTTTGTATTATAATATTGAGAAATTGCTGTTTAGTCTGCCACTTAATGCCAATGTACTATTGGGACGATAAACATATCAAGGTGATTTATATTTTTCGAAAACAAATGGAAGAAATCAGGCTTGAATACTTAAATTGAATAAATTATGTAAACAAATATCGAATGCTGTAATTTTAACTGTTTGAAAAAAATAAATTGTGTTTTTGCAATTGGTTATTGGTAATTATAACACTGTGGCATATAGCATTTTCCCACTTTTGAGAACGTGTATATACTTTTTGGTCATATAGCTCTTTAACTATTTCGGTTCTTATACATCCTTGGCTTTCAAGTATTCAGCTTTTAGCGTTCATAATGAAGGTAAATCCCAAAAAGAGCTTCGGACACATGACATGTATAGTGTTGTTTTCATTTTTCCAAGAAAGTAGTGTACTTTAAAAAAAATACTTTAGTATGGGAGAACATGATTTATTTATTAGTTTGGCTTTGATCTAGCTTTCAATACATGCGAGTACTCTCAAATCGACACTTTGTGTCTGTTGTCTTGCTGCTTGTTGTTGTTCTGTATTCTATCATCTGAAGAGTCTCGTCATTTACAACTGGTTTTTACAGTTTGTACTGTTACACTACTGTCCCAGGTTAGAGGGAGGGTTGAGCACTCACAACATGTCCAACTCCGCCACATTCTATATATGCCTGTCCAAAATCAGGAGCCTTTTTCACTGGACGCCGTTGGTTGCTGTCTGTCATATTTATTTTTCGTTTATTGTTTTGTCATACATTAGGCTTTTTTCGTTTAAATTGTTTCACATATTGTCGTCATGTCGGGAAATTTTACAGATGATTTCAAGGAATGAGTTTTGCAAATTGTCGAAAGCATTGCGTTGACCTAAAGTTACTTAAGTTCGGTACATTTGGACTTATGTGAATAGTTGTCGCATTGGCAATCAGACCACATAGATATAAGAAGATGTGGTATGTTTGCCAATGAGACAAATCTCCATCCAAGTCAAAATTTATAAAAGTAAACCATTATAGGTCAAAGTACGGTCTTCAACACGGAGCCTTGGCTCACACCGAACAGCAAGCTATAAAGGGCCCCAAAAATTACTAGTGTAAAACCATTCAAACGGGAAAACCAACGGTCTAATCTATATAAAAAACGAGAAACGAGAAATACTGATGAACCACATCAACAAACGACAACTACTGAACATCAGATTCCTGACTTAAGACAGGTGCAAACAATTAATGCAGCGGGTTTAAACGTTTTAATGGTACCAAACCTTCACCCTTTTTCTGAAACAATAGTGTAACATCACAACATAGAAAGACACACTATAAAATATTGACTGAAATGGCTTAACTCAATCAAAGGACATATTTACACCAGTGAACATACACTGAACAAATAAATTTGACCTTTGATACAATGTAAATACAAAATAAATAGACTAAGGGAAGAATAATAAAAAAAAACATGTTATACCGCTATGACATGTTAACCAATTTTAGAAAAAAACAATATGCTCGAACAAAAATATCAGCCATTTGCAATTACTTTAAACACAGGTAAATGAAAATAATTTTGTTGTTAGGTACATGTATACGTGTACAGTTCAAATAGAGAAAGGAAATAATTTTACAAAATAAATAATTTTGATGTTCATAGTACGAAGTGAAAATTTATAGTAATACCAAACACTTATCAAAGCTGGTATATAGACCAGATATAACCCTGAATAACATTAAATAACAAAAAAGGATTACGATTAGTATCAACAGATCAAATAAACAAGAAAGTACGATTTGAGAGTACTCGCAGTTACTGACAGCTAGTTAAAAGCCAAAAACAATTAATAATAAAAAATCATGCATCAGAGACTAAAATCAACTAAAACACATCCCAGGGATTTAGTTTTTTAACGTCATGGACAGTCAAAGAAGACATGCATGACTTGTGCAATGCCAAAAAAAAATGTATCGACAGGCAGTAGGATAGTTAGGAGTTTAACCTCTTTATAGATCAAAATGAACGTGGGTGTGTCTTTATACATCCCGTTTGAAAAGAATACAAATTTAGTTATGTTTTAATTTGCTGATGACAAAATCGATATTAGTGCCAATGTAAACTGTATTCAAAGATCTTATTACAACATTGGTAAGATAACCTTTACTAATAAGTTTGTTTAAAGGTTCGACGAGTTTACACGGATCACATAGTGATTTCCGCGCTTTAAGTACCATATTACCGTAAAATTTAGGATGTGAAATACCGTTTTTAATAAGTTTTCTACAGGTACAGCCAAATTTACTAATCAAATCTTTGTATCTATGAAAGAATTTAGTAAAAGTTTTACGTAATTTATGGTAGCGAAATCCCGGACTTAATAATTTACCAGTGATGCATTGATTACGTTCGTTAAAATCTATGACATCACTACACACACGGGCATAACGAACGAGTTGGGATATATAAACACCGTATGATGGAGCCAAAGGAACATCGCCGTCTAAAAAAGGAAAATTAACAATAGGGAATGAAAAGTCGTCTCTTTTGTAGAAAATTTTCGTATGGAGTTTCCTTTAGAAATTGAAATGTCCAAATCTAGAAAAGGACAACTACTGCTGTTTATGTTAGATTTAGTTAAAGTAAGTTCTATTGGGTAAATTTCGGTAGTACATTTAGAGAACCCTGGATTATTTAACGAAAAAATATCATTTAGATAACGGAAGGTATTGTTGAATGTATCAACCAAATGTAACAATGACGTGTCTTTGCTGAGTTTGGTCATAAACTGAGATTCATAGCAATACAGGAATAAATCTGCTATTAAAGGGGCGCAGTTAGTGCCCATAGGAATACCTACTACTTGTCGATATACTTTATCGCCGAAACGTACATATATGTTATCCAGGAGAAAATTTAAAGCTTCAATCATATCTTCACATTTCCAGTAAGTGTATCTAGCATACTTTCCTTTTTCGTTACAGAAAAAGGCTTTAAACGTGTTACAGCAAATAAATTTGTAATGAGATTTTTCAAAAGACCATTTAATTAAATATGAAAAAATTTTCTTGATAAGATTGTGTGGAAGTATAGTATAGAGAGTAGAAAAACACATCTCTTTATTTCATATTACATATTTTTTTAAGTGAAAAGAAAAAAAAGCAATCGTATCTATTTAAATTGACCATTTTTTTCCAGACAGCGAACAAGAAAAAATGGTTTCTGTCCTACTAGACGCAGAAGAATCCACTATGGAGTTTGTTGATCTTGAATCAGACTCGGTAAGTTAAATTAAATGAATTAGTGTTTTATCAAATCACGACCAATGGAATCTAACAAACACAATCCAAGAATACAAAAATATGTTCTTCAGACACATATTGAATTAAATAACAATATACCATCTACTGCCAAATGACCATGATCATTTCTTAATTAAGGAGACTAACGTAGAGATGACTGATAGACATTTTTCCTATTGACATGATTACGCTTATGTATTTTCTTTGCTAAGAAGACTAAATTAATTTAGTTCGTAAATCTGCTGGTAATTTTATAGTAGTTACACACGTAATTAGCATAAAGAAAACAAAATATATATATGAATTTACAATATAGTCACGACATAAAACAAAATAATCATAAGTGCATTGGAATACTCATCTTTATAACGAACGCAAGAATGATTTTGTTGATAAAAAAACCCCACAAAAAGCAAAGAAACAGCGCTTTTATTGCTGTTCTTCATCTCAAAGTCACAGTGAGACCTTCAACACAATGCAAAAAAAAACCCTCTCATTTAGACGGCCCCTAGCAAGGGCTTGATTGGAATTCTTTGCAAAAATGATTTGGATAGACTTTGTAAGATGTTAAACCACCTAATCGGGCCCGGTCAAAAAAGAACATACTGGAAAGTAGAACATATTTAAAATAAAATAGTTCCTACGCATAAGTGTATATCTTAAACTATGTAGCATATATTTTAGTAATTAAGGAACAGATGAAAGAAGAAGGACTGCTGATCCTTGTAGAACACATAATTTACTGATAATTTTGAATAATACAAAAATGTATGAATGAATTCTAAAATTGAGGGCATATATAGCCTGTTTCTAAGATATGAAGTGCCTGGTTTGGTGTATTTCAAATTCCAGTAACCAGTGCAGTACGTTCTGATGTATAAATACAGGTATATTGATCCCGCTTCCATAAAATGCAATATCTCAAACGACTTTTTCACCTCTTTCTTTCACGAAGTTCCTTCCTGCTTAACCCTGTGAGACATTTACTTAATGTTTTATAAGCTCTTCTAATGAATGACGTGGAAAGTGGAAAGTGATCATGGTGTATAAATATAAAAGCCTTGACAAGCGGATAAAAAATCGGTGAATGACAGATTGATGACCTACATAATCCATAGGTTGCTAACTATGATGTATCATATTCTATCGGGCAAGATATATTGTCATATTTCTTTCTTAGTACACGCATTTTCAGAAGAAAATTGTGGGGTTTATAACTAGTTAAACCTCCCACTTGTATGACCGTTGGTAATAGCTCCGTTATATTGACAAACTTTTGTGAGCAACCCAAAACAGACATAATTGGTTTAGGTGACAATAATTGGGATGATGCAGCCAAAACTGTGAAAACATACATAACAGAAATACAACACAACTGACTTTTACATTTAATATTAACCATTAAATTATTTAATTCTTTTATCTTCAGTAGAAAATTATTATATTGACATCGTATTGCAAATATCTTTTTTTGACACGGTGGTTCTATTAAATTGATTGTCGTACACATGAATATGCAATTAGTTTTAATTGTCAATAAATAGTATTTGCTTTTTCAAAATCATACATGTGTAAGCTAAAACCAAATTGACACGAAGGGTTCATTACCAACTATAACTTTGTTTTGACGCATGAAATTTATAACGTGCTAATTTCATTATTTTACAGTACTGGGTCAATACCTCTGCTAGTGGACTATCAATCCCCGATGGTATCATCAGTCCAATAGTCAGTACTTCGGTACTGACATGATTTATAACAAACATTTCTAAAATTGTCCGTTTATAAATTTTGAAATTATAAAGAAACTAAGGTTTCAACTCCTTCAGGCAAAGGTAGCCTTAGATGGATTTGACTATTTGATTTAGGCCCTTTTGGTTTATAGCTCTTGAACTGTTTCGATTCTTATACATCCTTAGCTTTCAAATATTCAGCTTTGAGCGTTCCTAGTTGAGGTCTATCCAGAAAAGCGCCTCGGACGCATGACATTTATAACGTGTTGTTTTCATTATTTTGCAATGTCATCTTGGGACAATTATAACCCTTAACAGATGGCAGGTATACTTATCACGATTACTTATACTGGAAAGAAAAGATTTACTTAATGAATTACAACCGGATGGTTTTAATCACCAGTTCTTTTTGACGCAATCATATCGGTTTTAAAGTGCCGTTAAAAAAGATACCTTTAAACGAGGTATACTCAATGCAATGTAATTAACATTGTAAGCTTCAACTAAAAAATCTCAATTATAATGTAACATTAACGTTATGGGTTGAGATTTTAAGATGTTTGCATTTACAATTTGATAAAACATGTTCATTGATGTTGTTGAAACGCAGAGGAAATAAAAGTAAAATATGTGATTGTGTTTTTGAAAACCATCATTAAATTACAAACAACAGCATATATTAAAATATGAAGTATTCATGAAACTGCAATTCAATCTAGACACGACAAATGACAAGAACAGTTTGTATCGCAATTTTATGGGATACAAATATCGCGCTGAAAAGAATTATCCTTTAGCGCTACAACGTCCGATTGTTTGCGCTAAAATATCCTCCGCCGGATATATAAGCAACTAGTCAAGATAGATTCATGAAAAATATCAACCAAATCAATTAATATGCACCAAAGATCAACACTTTTGAATCTTAGTCACGAAGTAAATTTAAACGGTCCTTAATCTTATGTTAACATTAAATGCGAATATGAAGAGAAGACCGCGCATGTAGTAAAAAGAGAAGACGACCTAAAATTCTTTTTTACTTAAAAAAAATATTGTAAAATGATAATCGTTTATTCTTGGAATGATATTTTCAAATATAACCAAACACAACATTTAAATCGTAATATTAATACAAATACAACATTTTAAATCGGAACATCTGCGCAGTGGTGTACTCGAAAAATTTAATTGTTGAAGAAAACAAAAATGATAAAAATTTTAACCTAGGAATGAGTGGAACATTCTGAAAATAGGTGTATGGAAAGATGTTTATTTCTTGTGTGTATTTGATTTTTTCCTACATTTTGTTTTATCAATACACTGCAAAGCTTAGCATGTTTTCTTTTATTTTCAGTAAAACAAGCTCCTAATGAAATTATCTCAATAAAAAATGAAAACAAGACAATATGCAATGTGCATGTATTTTAAAAACAACATAGTTTAAGAAAAGATATTTTGAAATGTACGATAGTGGTTTTCGAAAGATTTTTTAATAAGTTTGGTAACCGATGTAAACAAACTATTGACTTTGTAAGCTTTATAATAAGGAGCGTTATGCTCTTCTTTTGTTCCCCGCACCACCAGTTCACACACTGACAGGAAAAAATGCATTCATCAGCATTAACTGATGCATAAGAAATAGACACAGAACCAGAGATAGCCAAATTTTATAAACTCTCGATAATTTTAACATTATTTTTTAATATATTGCATGCTTTCATTTTGCTTTATACGTGTTGATGATATAAAATGGAAAAAAAAACCTAATAGATACCAATTTATGTGTGTATTAATCTTTGTCGAAAACAGAGAGATCATTCATATTATCAAAAATTAAAAATCATTTAGAAGTTAGTCAGGGTATATTATAACAGTAATACTTTCATGGAAATGTGATATTTGGTTTGAACTTCATGATGGTAATACGAAACAACATGTTAGTATCGTGTGTAAACTATTGTTTTACATATGCATAAAACTACGGATAATGATACACTTAGCAATATCACGAATTTGTCCAATTATATTGGAAGAGTGTTCAGTTTTGTTTATACGAGGTACACGGGTGCTAAAATACAGTAAATATTGAGACTTCCGTATTTAGAAACATATCAAAGTTTATTTAATGAACATTTGTCTAAGGTTGCGACGCCTTAATCATGTAAATTAGGCAATGATGCCCAATTGTTTTTACATCTCTTCTGCCTATCTAGTTAATATGTCGTAAAATAAAAGAAAAATATGCCAAGCTCTAAATCGCTCTTGGACTACGAATTTGTAAATTTAACGAAACATAAAGATACAACAGCAAAAAATCCCCAAAGACTAGGTTTTGACCTGGAAATTGAACTTTAACATGTTGCGGCGTTAAAGGTTTTTCTTAAAATCTCATTTAATGGCCCAACAATATGTAAATAGGTACTAGTACTTAAAAGATCATTAAATAAATAGAAGTACAAACAAGCACTTAACTCTATAATAACGGTTTAAAAAAAGATAAATTAATCATGAGTAAATTAAGCTTTACAATAAAATACTATATCATTTCAAAGAATGTTTCCATTTACTTTATGTTTACCTAGTTGGACTTTTAGAAAAGGAATAGAGGTGAAGTTAGATTTAGTTTGTTTTTTTTAAAGAAAAGTACTTTAACGAAATAAAGATAGAAAATACATTACAAGCACCGCTCCACTTGCCTTAGAAAACCTACGCTAATGCCAGATTGAAAAAAAAAGATATAATTAAAATTAAGTTAGTTGAAAAATTATTATGCACAGCATTAATTAAGCGCTCATTTGAGTGCTTGCACATTATGTCAAACAAAATAACCATCAAAAACGAATTAACAGACTAGGAATTATTCATTAAAATCTCATAACATGACGTGAAAAATCCTCAATTTCTTTTGAAAGAAAAGATGTAGAATTTCAACCCACAACTAAGCAATTTATTACAAAATGTATAATTTACGAATGTGATTGTTCAGGGTAAGGGTAAGGTTAATTGCGCATTAGCTTATGTTAAGTTTGATCTTCAAAACAAAGAAAATTTACTTGGTTCTTCTGTGTTACTTTCATCTTTCAGTATAGAGAAAATGAATAAATGTTCTAATGATAAAATACGTATAAATCTTTCTTGCTGTTTACATGAAGCAATAAAAAAGTTTTAGGATCATACACTTACTTCTTACGATAAGCTTGTCAATGAAGCAAAGTAAGTGCATTCGGATCTTTCCATAACTTACGATAAATCATAAGCTAAAAATATATATTATTTAAAGTCAACATTTGATCTAATCAAAATATTGTTATATTTCAGACTGATCATGAAGAAGGAGGATTCGATTGTTACGTAGTTGTTTATTCGATTGATGATAGGAAGACGTTTGATAGAGCTGTGGATATTTTGTATCATCTTCGAAAGGAGAAACATATGAAATCAGCAATGATTTTAGTTGGCAATAAAAGTGACCTTGTAAGAACGAGACATATACAGGCAGAAGGTAATTATGCTTGTTTAACACCTACATGTATTCTGTGTACATTGTACAAAATGCATCTTAAAAACTTTCAAAATGATAGTCAAAACTGTAATATTCGGGAAGTTACTAAGCAGTTGAGTTTAGTTTTAAAATTTCGAAATCGGGGAACTTGAATGTTTTAATGTGCAATTAAAAAAAAAAAACAGCTATTAATCGAAAGCCTTTGGTTATAACTAAATTCTTCGAGTGTAAAATTTTAATCGCAAAACTATGCCATATAAGACCTGTATTCATGTATGAGCAGAATTACCGATTAAACTAATTAATTTTGGGAACAGAAATTAAGTGTGTAGTCATCGCCTTAAATCACCGTTTCTGTAAGGATTTTAATGGCATTGTTTTTGAACACTCTCTGTCAGCAAGTTGTGCTAATTACATTACAGTCTCCATTTACCCGATAACTTTCAAAAGTATGTCATAAAAAGCATTGGGTAGTTGACTTCGTGTCATAATAGACGTCTGAAAGCACCTTTAATTTGTATTAGAATATTGTATGAATGCATGAACGTAGTTGGAAATTTTTAAGTTCATAACGTAACTATGCTCTGACAGACAATTCACGCCGAGATCAAACATAAACAAACAGCGACTGAAGATACTCACATCAGTGCATTGTTAATCAGTTGCACCGAACAAATTGAATTACAAGCTATTAAACCTTTAAAGAGAATAGACTTTAAAACTGTTTAAGTTACAAAGGGTTATAAACAATTCTGATTAACACCTCCGACTTCGTCTGGAGACATTTTATTGGCATGAAAGCACGTTATGGTTTCAGTGAATCTATCCCATAAAACTACAATATAACACTGTTATCCCAGGTAATGTCGCCTGATATTGCTGTGTTATCTCATATCATTTCCGTAACCAGACAAAACGCATTTACTTAAAGCTGATTCTGGACGTCATTTACGCGTTTTATAGAAAACTGATTTTTGTATCCTTGAACTAACAAGATAATTTTATATGCTTTAAGTTGTAACAGCTTCTTATTTTTAGCTCACCTGGCCCAAAGGGCCAGTGAGCTTTTCTCATCACTTCGCGTCCGTCGTCCGTCGTTAGCTTTTACAAAAATATTCTCCTCTGAAACTACTCGGCCAAAGTTAACCAAACTTGGCCACAATCATCATTGGGGTATCTATTTCAAAAAATATGCCCGATAACCCGGCTCGCCAACCAAGATGGCCGCCATGGCTAGAAATAGAACATAAGGCTAAAATGTAGATTTTGGCTTACATATCTGAAACCAAAGCATTTAGAGCAAATCTGACATCGGGTAAAAATGTTCATCGGGTCAAGATCTATCTGCTCTGAATTTTTCAGACGAACCAGACAACCCGTCGTTGGGTTGCTGCCCCTGAATTGGTAATTTTAAGAAAATTTTGAAGTTTTTAGCTCACCTTGCCCAAAGGGCCAAGTGAGCTTTTCTCATCACTTGGCCTCCGTCGTACGTCGTCCGTCGTCGTCGTCCCTCGTTAACTTTAACAAAAATCTACTCCTCTGAAACTACCGGGCCTAATATAACCAAACTTGGCTACAATCATCATTGAGGTATCTAGTTAAAAAAATGTGTTCGATGACCCCGCCTGCCAACCAACATGGCCGACATGGCTAAAAATAGAACATAGGGGTAAACTGCAGTTTTTGGCATTTATCTCTGAAACTAAAGCATTTAGAGCAAATTTGACATAGGGTAAAATAATGTTCATCAGGAACAGATCTATCTGCCCTAAAATTTACAGACAGATCAAACAACCTGTTTTTCGGGTTGCTGCCCCTGAATTGGTAATTTTAAGGAAATTTTGCAGTTTTTGGTTATTATCTTGAATATTTTTATAGATAGGGATAAACTTTAAACAGCAATAATGTTCAGCAAAGTATGATCTACAAAAAAATTCAACATGACCAAAATTATCAATTAACCCTTAAGGAGTTATTGCCCTTTATAGTAATTTTTAACAAGTTTTCGTAAATTTTTGTAATCTTACAAAAATCTTCTCCTCTGAAACTACTGGGCCGAATATAACCAAATTTGGCCACAATCATCATTGGGGTATCCAGTTAAAAAAATGTGTCCCATGACTCCGCTTGCCAACCAACATGGCCGACATGGCTAAAAATAGAACATAGGGGTAAAATGCAGTTTTTGGCTTATATCTTTGAAACTAAAGCATTAAGAGCAAATCTGATCATGGGTATCTGTCCTGAAATTTTTAGAGGAATTAGAAACCCCGTTGTTGGGTTGCTGCCCCTGAATTGGCCATTTTAAGGAAATTTTGCAGTTTTTGGTTATTATCTTGAATATTATTATAGATAGGGATAAACTTTAAACAGCAATAATGTTCAGCAAAGTAAGATCTACAAATAAGTCAAACATGACCAAAATTGTCAATTGACCCCTTAAGGAGTTATTGCCCTTTATAGTAATTTTTAACAAGTTTTCGTAAATTTTTGTAATCTTACAAAAATCCTCTCCTCTGAAAGTACTGGGCCAAACTAAACCAAACTTAGCCACAATCATTATTAGGGTATGCAGTTTTTGGCTTATAGCTCTGAAACTCAAGCAAACGTATAATGGTTGCATTATTTCATGCATCAACTGTAAACAAAAATTTCCGGTAAGCGACACAGGCTCCTTGGAGCCTCTAGTTGGTTATTATCTTCAATATTATTATAGATAGAGATAAACTGTAAACAGCAATAATGTTCCGCAAAGACATATCTACAAATATGACTGCATGACCAAAATGGTCAATTGACCCCTTAAGGAGTTATTGCCCCCTTATAGTCAATTTTTTGTAAATTTTTGCAATCTTTTACAAAAATCTTCTCCTCTGACACTACTGAGACAAATTAAACCAAACCTGGCCACAATCATCATAAGGGTATCTAGTTTAAAACATGTGTCCGATAATCCCGCTTATTAACCAACATGGCCGACATGGCTTAAAATAGAACATAGGGGTTAAATACAGATTTTGGCTTATATCTCTCAAAACTAAAGCATTTAGAGCAAATCTGACATGATAAAAATGTTCTTTGGGATAAAAACTATTTGCCCTAAAATTTTCAGACGAATCAGACAACCCGTAGTTGGGTTGCTGCCCTTAATTGGTAATTTTAAGGAAATTTTGCAGTTTTTGGTTATTATTTTGAATATTATTATAGATAGAGATAAACTGTAAACAGCAATAATGTTTAGCATAGTAAGATCTACAAATAAGTCAACATTACGAAAATGGTCAATTGACCCCTTAAGGAATTATTGCCCTTTATAGTCAATTTTTAACAATTTTTTGAAATTTTTTGTAATCTTTTACAAAAATCTTCTACTCTGAAACTACTGAGACAAATTTAACCAAACCTGGCCACAATTATCATTAGGGTATCTAGTTGAAAAAAAATGTGTCCGATGATCCCGCCTACCAACCAACATGGCCGACATGGCTAAAAATAAAAAATAGGGTTAGAATGTAAGTTTTCTCTATTATTTTTTGAACCGTTATAAATAGAGAAAAACTGAAAGGAGCAAAAATGTTCAGAATAATGAGCTCTACCAATTGTCCATATACATCAAAACTGTTAGACAAATTCTTATAGGAGTTATTTCCCATAAATGACAAATTTTACCATTTTTTTTATTTTTGCCTATTATCATGAAAATATGATATTTAGAGAGAAACATTTATTTCCCTTTATGCCTTATAATAGATAAATAGACACTTTAAATCTCAAAAATGATCATCAAGGCAAGATCTATTAAAAAGTCAAATTTTGCCGATATATTTAGTAGACTGTCACTCTTCATAGGAGTGGTTGCCCTTAAATTAGGATTTTTTTACCCTTTATTGTGTTTTGACCAAAAACAAGATCAATAAAATAGAGATTTTTGTCATAAAGTCTATTCTCGTCTACAATGTTGGAGAGTGTCCTTTGTATGATATGCATATAGACCAAGGTGAGCGACACAGGCTCTTTAGAGCCTTTAGTTTTTATATTACAATATTCCACCCTATCGACAGAAATTTGTTGGTTTTATAATTTTCAACCAGTACACATGATTCAAAATAACGTTGTCGTCAAATACTTAATACTTTGACTGAATGATAACTATTAGAAATCAAGTGTATTTACCTAAATCTATTCGGTTAATATCAGGTCTATAATGGTATACTTGTTGTTCATTTTTGTGATGAATATCGTTACCTTAAGCTGGTCGCTGACTTGATATTAACTTCAAAATCAACAGATACGTGTATACGCAATGTTGCCCATTTCTGAAAAAAAGATGCGTGTAAATTTTCCAAAAATACACATTTTCATACTTTAATAAATGATCCTTCTAGATTTGTTCAAATTAAAATGGCCGTAACCATGTGTTAACAACTAAAACAATAGGTGAAATATTTGGTATTAGAAAAGATCAGGTTATCGAGTTACTGTCAAAGCATTTATGATACAAGTAATCCTGTGTTAAGGTGTTAACACATAAGTCCCCAAATATCATCATGTTTATATTGCGAGTCATGATCGATATTTGATCTACAATTGAGAGGCAAAATAGAAATAATCGTATAACAGAACTTTAATTAAAAAATATGTTGCATAATTGATGAAGGAATGAATAATTGTGCATTCAACATTTGCTACTGTAAACCGTTTATTAAATGGGAAATTTATTATAAAAGATAAATTATGTCGGAGACCAAAAGTAGAATAAAATAAATGCATTTACATTCGTTGTCTTATTATGTAAACTACCTTTATCTATCATCTTTTCAGTATTCGTTATATTATATTTTCAGAGGCAAAACCTGTTGCAGTGCAATACGACTGCAAGTTTATAGAAACCTCAACAGTGCTTAATATTAACATCGACGAACTTTTGGTTGGAATATTGAAACAGATTAGATTAAAACACAAGAAAGATGAAAAGGAACGAACACACGGGACTGACATTGGTTGTATGATAAAAAGTAAAACATTGCTCACTAAACTTTTTGGGAAGGACACGTTTTCAAAATCATGTGAAAACCTGTACGTTTTATAAGTTTTTATGTAAATGCTTTATTTTGAAAGTCACTTTGTACATGTATATAGTTCAAAATTAAACAGCTCGTATTTTTTGTTTAAAATTTGCTGTTCAATTTGTAAAATAGATAAATCTCGTGATAGAGAAAAACAGGTTTAAGAGTACATTTTAGTACTTGACAAAATTAATAGTTAATGAAACATAAAACACTATGTGTGTTCGTTAAAATATCATGGAGTTTTTTTGTTGAGATACAATCATTGGTAAATTTTGCAGGATTTTCTAAAAAGTAAGTAATGTAGCTGAAAAGTATGCTAATACCAATTCGATTTATAAAATCCGTATCATGTACACATAGATTCCACCCCATGTTATTTGGCAGTAAATTTTTTTTTCGAATAGGGGAGAAGATACCAAGGGACACCCAAATACAACAAGATGAAGAAAATAAGAAAACATCATTTAACTTAAATTGGATTTAAGTTCCGGTTCACATCCCTTCATATCGACTTTTGACCAAAATATCAATCAAAAACACTTCTCGGGATGCGGAATTGTTCCGATTCGCGTTGTTAAATGTGACTTTAAATTTGATTACCATGCATACAAATGTTAACCTTAGTTAAAGTAATTTGTTTAAAAAGTTCGCACAATCATAAGATGAAGGCAATGTGTTTATTATCTTCTCAAGACATCGGACATAAAAATGAAGGCTCCGCCGTCGTCATAGTATTCTTGGTTACACCGTATCATACAAGAACCACGAGTCGATATCCAATTAAAATATGGAAATTTTAGTATCCAAAGTATTCACTGTACTTTAAAAATTAATATCAACTTATAATATTTTTCTTTCATCTAAAACTGTTAAAAGATGATAAGTCTTCATGTCAGATGCTTTGTTTTCTAATAAAGATTAACTAAGGAACATGGAGTTAAATATATCAATAAAAAATAAACTTTTTGATGTTTGTTCTGTTTACTGTCTTATTGTCTTCTGCAACCTCAATAGGTTTTCATCAATTTATATACATCCAATGTTTTAGGTTTCATTGAATATGTATCATTTCATTGTTGTTTAAAATGCCATGATATTTTGCAATAAAATTGTGACAATCTGCCAATCAAGTGCGACGATTCATTGCTTCAAACAATTGTACATGTATATCGTATAGAGGTAAACTATTTCAACTATTCATTCATTTAATCATTCATTCATTCACATCACTTATTTTTGTAGATTTAATATTGACGTTTTTTTTTTTGAAAGATCATTTGAAAGTATTTTTGTGATGACAGATAATGTGCTTAACAGTGCCTGTGTACATATTTTAATTTAAGAGAAATTTATTGTACAATAAAAAAAACCAACATAGTATGATTTTGCTCTGATAGACAAAAGATAAACCAGATTTTAGTTCGTCCTGGTTTCTCATCGCATCCCAGTAAGCAGATCTTTGTGTGCCAAACAATCCAGTAAGCAGATCATCATGTGACATACATTTCAGTAAGCAGATCTTCATGTTACATTCAATTCAGTAAACAGGAGCAAACAAAGATCTTATTTTAATGCAAAATAGAAATTCTATCGGGACAAAAATAAAACCCGAACCCAGGAAAATACCAGACCAAGACAACCTTCTTAAACAAGTGAATAAATATTATTTATCCAACAGCTTTTGCGAAATGTGCGACTAGATTACTATTGATATAATAACAGTTGATTCATCGCGGCAATACTGGAATACCATTAATGACCGCTTTTTTTCATCGATCTTTTTAGATAGTTGGTTATCATTAGCCACAAACAGAGCGTGAAAAATAACCAAATTTACGGTACAAAGACTTGTTGCACAAATGAGAACAGCAATCACCACTGAAGAAGAAACAAATAGTGCCACTAGAATTCTTATACAACCAAAGTTTTCTAGCAAGTGCTCAAAAAGTATGCATATTCAAGTAGTTAGATTACTGCACCTTTCGTATATCCAACTGTATATCAAAAAGATAGCTGTTATTATGGTAAATCTAAAAAGAAAGTAAATATGTGTGGGCGACCTAATAATAATATAACTCTATCTCAACGGACATATATGAGAATTTATGTTTGAAGTCAATAACTGATTTCATTATTTCTTAGCCACAAAACACTTAATAAATGAACACGATAGATCAGACATCATGATCTCCAATACTCTATACTTATCGATCCATCGTATAGTAATAACGTTTCTTTATTATTGATTATATTGAAATTATCATACATTCATAGTACTTGACAACACCATATGATACATGTAATCTTCCGAAGAGATGAATTTTATTACGGTTCTGTGATAGCATGGTGATAACTATTAAATAGCTGAAGTATAAGGAAGGTATGGTAAACACGTCAGTTTAACAAACAACTTAGTATATTTTGTATATCGATACACGGCTAGACGACATGTAATAGGCATTACGGCTTCCACCAAACAAAATAAAATTGACCACGATATAGCGATATAATGTGCTGAAAATATATTTCAATACCAAAAATCAAGCAATCAACGACATCTACAATGGATAGCCTAAGCGTTTAAAGCTTTGATACGCCTCGTATATGACTTTTGACATTTAATATGAATGACAAAAACTTAAAGACAAAGTGTTCTATATAACCAAGGGTTCCAATTGGTAAAGTTGAATTCACCCCTTTGAAAGTTTTAGGGGCGTCATCACGATTTTGATTGGCCGTTTATGGAATATCTGTGTAACAGATGACAACGAATATGTTCTAATTGTCGTGACAACTATTCTGTACACTCTATTTACAAATTGTGATATCACCGAATGATCTTATCAACAAATTTGTACTTGCATGAGCCTCACGACGAATGCTTTATGTGGAGTATGAACTGTTAACTAATTTCGGAGAATCTGAGTTCACCCCTGTTTTTGGTGGGGTTCATACTGATCAACCTTTAGTTTTCTGTGCTGTATTTTGTGGTATTTTCCGCCTATTTCCTAATAACTCAATTATATTTCAGTAATAATAGTTATGTTTTTCAACATCGTATTTTATTGGTTTGTTTTTGCCTTTAATGATTCGAGCGTCACTGATGATTCTTTGTAGACGAAATCTCGTCCGGCATACACATTTAAAGGCCTAGTATCTTTGATGAGCTTATCAGTAAGAAAAAAAAATACAAGCACTTATTCAACCTTTTCCTTTGAAAGACAAATAAGAAGTCAAGTTGTAGAACCGCTGCTAGATGTAATTGACATGAACAATCCAAAGGTAGATTTTAATTGACAATTATTCTTTAAATCGGTTTCATACCGTAAACAACGTAAGAAAAAAAAAATTGACATTTTCACTATTAAACCCAAGATAGTGGAAAAAAGCAAGACAAATGATCGTAAATCAGTGAAATATATTAATTAAAATCACAAATAGAACATACGTGATGTTTGTTGTTGCCGTTCTTAATACTGAAGACCGATAGCAGTGTCTAAATAATCCGAGAATACTGACAGCCTTGCAGATTCTACATCTGTTTTTTTTTTTTTTGCAACGCTATCTTAATGTTCTAGTTGGTGATTATATTCCAACACTCAAGACCAAAATGCTAATTACAATAATACATAGGTGTGTCCCAATATTTTTGTCCATGAGTTCTTGTGGCAGTGTGATATGCAAGACCTTACAGTCTTATATTATTATCTTATTTTATTCTTTCGGTACGTTTTGTAGAATTCTGCCAGAACGGCAAATATGTCACGTATATTCAACAGAAAAAAAATTACAACAAATATGTTTGGTAGGTTCGGTTCTGTCAATTGGAACAAACGAGATGACGATTGGAAAATTATTTCAACTACAAAACGATTGCTTCATAGATAAGGAAAACAGTTCGCCTTGTATCATGTCAGACAATGGATTCCCCCAAAAAATTGGTACAACATTGTACAAGGTGTCGTAAATGCGACGAGAGTATGGCACCCACTTTACATTAGGCGTCGGATTCAACTTTACCATTCCGACAGGACAGTTCTGCATATTTATACATCCCAAACAGTCTTCTCGACATTGATGTAACTGTAGCAAGGGTGAAGATAATTTACTTTTATGCTCAAGTCTTCGTTTCCAAGCAAATGTGCCTAAGCAAATAAATGAATATAAAAAGCAACGCAATTTGAATTGGCTTTACCTGAATAGTTCAACCAACTTCAGGACTATTTTACTTGAATATAGAGCTTTACAATAGTAATCAGTATTATCATTAATATTAAATAGTACAATTCTACAATTCTACACATACACAGTTATGATAAAAAGATTTAAGGTTATGCATGGAGTTAACATCAACAAAAATATTCATTTTTGATCCAAATTATACAGTAAAACGAGGAAACTAAGTTTTTATGATCAACACAAGAACCCAAAATATAAACGGCCAAAGATCTTCATTGTTCCTTCAATAATTACTTACGATGATTAAGAGCTGTGATGTCTAAACCCAGAACAAAGAACAAATATTTAACAACAACGGTATTTGAGTTATTCTGCACTTAAAATATGTATAAAATCTGAGATCAAATTTAAATTATCTATAAGTGAATACTGAATGAGAAGAAAAAAAATCATATGCTTTATCCATGTACATTTTTTGACTAAAAATGTTATTTGACGTTTGTTTAATATTTACATGATGATATTCTGCTTATAACTCCTTACATCGATATTACACCATTCGTATTGTTCTCCGAACGAACTTATTTTTACAATAACTCATCTTGCCTCTGCCGCCGACCTTATTTGGTTGCAGATTTCCTACCCTTACAAAACACCCTTTTTCAGGTCAGATCCATGTCTCCGATTAATGAAAAATCGATGATTCAAACACTTTCTATTTTACGAGACAGTGTAACCTGGCCTTCAATTTCTTGTAAAATTGTTTGATTTACTCTTATACATGGTATTTGCTCTGAATGAAAAGTATGATTAGAATAATTTACTGTAAAATTAAAAAGGCAAAATCCCGAGACCTAAATTAACGTTTCTATTTGAATGACATGGAAAAAGAGTTAATTTGCAAAATCGCTGTAAGATGTAATTGACTTAAGCATTCCAAAGGAAAATTTTAATTGACAAGTCATATTAAATCAGTACACGTACCATATTGACCGAAAGAAAAATGTTGATTTCTTTACTATGAAACTTAGGAAAGCGAAAAAAGCAAGAAAATACCTATTAAATCTATAAGATAAAAATCAAAGTTAGAAAATATAATATGGTAGCTACGCTCGACTTCAATCCTTATTGACGTGGATTTTCAGTTATCCAATAGAAGTCGGCTGTTTTTTCCGGGCACTCCATCTTCCTCTACCAATAAAAACTGACCACCATAAAATAACACAATAGTGCTGAAGGTGGCGTTAAACTCCAATGCATTAATGAATCAATCTATACTCTATACCAAAAGCATGCCACTAGAATAAAGTCCAAATTATGTAATAACGATAACAATACAAATTTAACTGCATCAAATAGTAACAAACGCTGTCAAGGAATACAATGTTTTCAACAATTACCCAAACCTGTATCCCAACATTTTCGTCATGTTTGCGAATTGTACACTTTTATGTGAGTTCTCATATACCATATTACATTGAGGTCAGAGTCCATTTCTCAATCAGGCATTAACATGTTGAAGAAATGTGTACTTAAATGTTTTATCAACACAGAAAATTATCATAAAGAGTGTGCTATTACCGAATTATTTATCGCAACGACAGGTTAGTCGCACAATTTCTACCTCTGTTCAGATGACAGTTAATAAAGCCTTGCCTTCTACCCGGTTTTTTATCACTAAATAAATACTTGATCTTGCCGAACTATGATTTTAGGGAATTATGCTGACTGAATTATCATATTCTTTCCAGTTTTCAACTGTGAAAAAAGGAGATACAAGACTAGGCCAAATAAACAACCCCCTTCCCTCTCAAAGAAATTGAAGACACATAAAGGTCAGCAGTAATAAACTGTATGTTAAATCATAAATCGACCCCATGCTTAACATGTTCTAATTCAATTATGCAGAGATTTGCCATCCAGCCAAACGTTTTAATCTGTATACACGTACTGAATTCGGTGTTGATTTGAATCTTCGAGAAAGCCAGTTCATGAGAAAACCATCCAGCTGGTAGCCGGTATTGGCAGTACTATCAATGGTACATTTTATAATAAATTATTGAAATGTACTCAAACTTAGATCATTTTGGTCTTGACGCTGATACATTTTATGTTTCATTTTTATTTCCAATTTCATACCGGATATAGGATTCTCTCGAACACGTGTTAGGGGCATTTAAACAGGTATCAAATATTTTC